ATGTATATATGTATATATGTATATATGTACATATGTATATTGTATATATATATATGTATATATATATATATATATATTGTTTTGAATGCGAAAGAAAACAGCTGAACATTCATTTCACGGTATCTGCGGTATGTACCTCCTTGTCGTCACCAATCTTTGGTGTTGTGCCGGCATGCCTTGTGGATACAAAAAGTGCACATGGCAAAGCCCTCTGCCTCAAGGCACCGCTATTTGCGACGCGTGATAGTCGCGCTACGTTCAGCATACTTTACGTTTTACCTATTCAATGATATAGGTAGCTACAGTGCTACTAAATTATAGAGTTATACTATAGTCGACAGGAAACAAACTACAACCGTCGTGACCAATCCACTGATGTCGACTCCGAATGCAGATGAGATACTAATTGATACTCTTACGTTTACATTAGCGGATTGTTCAAAATAGTTTCAATGCTATATAGAGGAAATACAAATGTAGCCATCTACAAAATAAACATGTAATCACAAACATACATATAAATACCCGTATATATATAATTTTGTTTTGTTTTTAAATATATAAAAAATATATTCAACACTATAAATATTTGCATAAAACGACCATTTTTAAGGCCATGTTCAAACTACAAAAGGCCTTTCCTCTCTTTTTGTGAAATTTAAAACTTCGAAAAGTTGTACAACAGGGCACAGCCGCACCTGCCCACAGCGGTACAGCGATGGCACAGCCTGTTGCCCTGGGCCCTGGGGCGCCCTGAGCCCTCCTACTACTACTACTAGCCCTGGCCCCTGGCTGGTGGGACTGGGGCCTGTCCGGCCTGGGCTGCTGACCAGTGACCTGCAGTCTTGCTGACTGAATCATAATCAATTATTATCAAACACTTAACTGAGTAGTTAAGCCCAGGTAGTTCGATTATTATTGGTTTACAATCATTTTTAAAGTACGATCTGCTGCAAAATAAAAATAGACCTTTGTATTTTACTCTGCGTTTATCAAGGAACAAGTAACAACCTGATATCGCGTCCTGAGAGGCTGAGCCGTTTTGTACTTTTTTTAAAAATGTGAATCAGTTAAATAGCTGAGCAAAACAAGGCGCCGAGGGTTTTGGTTTTTGTTGTATTTTTTATCGTTTTCTTTTTAACAAAAACACAAAAAAAAATAGAAGTTGCAGAGTCGAAAGGATTTGAGAATTGAGACTGCTGCTGACTCCGAGTCTATAGTTAAAAGTGCCTCTGTCGGTTGGACGTTGGTCCCGAGTCCCGAGTCCCGAGTCCCGACTGGTCTGAAGACTTGAGACTGAGGGCACAGCCTTCACTTTTCAGTCTTCAGGCAGCCTACTGCCCTACTACTAATCTCTATTCAGTATTCTGGGTCTTCTCCTTCTCTCAACTCTATAGTATTTACTACTCTCTAGTAGAGTAGAGTAGTAGCTCTAGTAGAGAGAGAGGTGAGAGCTCTCTCTCACTCACTCTCTACTACTAGAGACTAGAGAACTAAGTACAGAGCTATTTATTGTCGCAGAGAGAGAGAGAGAGAGTAGAGAGAGGCCAATGAAGGGACTTTTTAAAAAACAAATACCAGTGCTTCCGCCTAATGAAGCTGTGTGCATACTGCATTATGTATTATGTAATATAATTATTTACATTTGTACCAACTATCATAGATTCTTTTTTTATTAATAACTGATGCGCTCATGGGCCAAGGCCTCATGCCTCATAGGTCCTCAGAGGTCCTATCCTAACTCCTCTCTCCACAGACCATTCACTATAGAGGGTGTAGGCTATTCACTATTCAGACTTTCTGCCCAGTCTCTAAAAGGCAGTAGGCACTAGAGAGTGACTAGGCACTCAACTTTTTAACTTTAAAATATAGGACTGGGGAGTGGAGATTGGGGTATTGGGGATCTGGGCATCTGGCACATCTGGGTCTTCTGCGATCACTGAACAAGAGTGATTAAAAAAAGTGCTAGAGAACACTGAACACTGACCAGTGATCTCACTGGGGAGTGGGACTGGGGACTGGAGTGACCATATGTGGTAGTGGCATCTACACTCAAGCAGTTATTATGCTACTCTATTTACACAAAATAAGAGAGCACCTTCTTGGCTGATCTCCGGATATGTCAATATGATGCTATTTTAGAAATTAATTTGCCAATTCGAACGATCTTCGATTCTTCGTACGCCGCTGAACAGCTATGAATGTGAAACTATTTCTCTAGAGCAGCGATTAAAGTTGCTTCACCGACGGAACAAGACAAGGTAACGGGCATGATGTGCACGACGCTGCAAAGGTTGTAAACAACCCTATTTTTGACCCTCTCCAGGAAAAAGCACTCTATTTTTAAAATCTTATTATAATATACACATGACCCTCAACAAGAGAAGAATTATATATGCCTGATCAGACTATTTCTTTAAAATATAGTCAATTGCGTCACAACTTTAATCGTCCCTTTTTTTTTAAAAGCTCATCAGTGTACAATTGTACATATGTTCTTCGGGCTCAGGTTAAATTTTCTCTCTATAGCGGATCATCATCCTGTGTATACGATTGTTTTAATACCTTTTATAAAAATTTATCACTTGCATCTTGTAGAGTTCTTTAAAAAGTCATAGTATATAATCACTAATTCAATTAACTATACGCAGTCAATTCTTTCACATCAAGCAATTGTATCAGGCAACGTGCGGATTATGAATATGTCTTTTCTCTCGCTATACAGAGAGAGAGGAGAGGCACCGAGGCAGGCTACTAATTCTATTGACAACTTGAAGATATCTGTATAAATGTGTACGTACAGAAATACTGATGCACAGTTTGTTTTTCTTCTTGGCTGCGATTCCTGCGACCTGCGATAGGGTTTTAGGGGTAAGGTTTTAGGCAAGAGACCTAAGAACATTAGGGTTCATAGTTAAATATTCAAAAATTGTATATACTATATGTACTACAAACTGGAACCATTGGTTCATCTCAACAATTGATGTTTATTGCATATGAGAAACACGAGAAATGAGAACGTTGTAAAAACGGACAAACTCGTCCTCCTAATCATTGAATATCCTGCTGGACTATGCATTTGATCCAATTAGATGAAAGCGCAGACTTGGTTCAACCGACCTCGATGACTATATAGTTGTTGAACGAACATTCTTGAAGTGCTTCTCTTTGTGTAAATATTTTCCTCAAACCCATACCACGCTACCTCATTGTGGCTTAGGACATCACTCCATAGAAAGCGTCTTGGGTATTGTACACAAGCCCTATATAGCACGCTTGCATACACGGCGTTCGTACCATAGAACAAACACGGACATTGATTTTAACAAGAATTGCGAACATGGACAGATGCACACAGGACGACCTCGAGATTCCGTTGCATAAGGTAGGCATGATTAATACGGTGATTCCGTGTTCTATGTGACACTGTGCACTGTATGCTCGCAGTATGTCAGGGCTATAGAACCATATCATACGTATCAGCGTGTGATGTGTATCCACTTTTTTTCATGGTCACAAAACCGAACCGTTGCATGTGCTATGCTATATGTTCGCAATGTGCCATTGCTGTATAACTGTACCATACGTAAACCTATGTGATGTATGTCTGCATACGACATGGCTATATAAATACATATCCTTATGTGATGTATGTATGCGTGTGTCATGGCTATATAACTGTATCATACATATCCTTATGTGCTGTATGTCTACGGATGTCATGGCTATATAACTGTATCATACATATCCTTATGTGCTGTATGTCTGCATATGTCATGGCTATATAACTGTATCATACATATCCTTATCTGCCGTATGTCTGCATGTGTCGTGGCTGTATTCCTGTATCATACACAGCATATGCTGTATGAACAATATATGTAGTGAGGCTCCACCTTGTAGATTCTATAGTGCGATAGGCGGCTTCTCTTGGTAGTAAACACATCGCCTGTATTACCTCCCTCTGATACGCTGTGGCCGGTATTCATCTGTTCGTTATTGAGTTCAGTCGTAGCGTGCTGCTAGAATGAAGTATTCAGATTAGGCGTACACAGGTCGCTGTTGATTTGGGCTGTGTACACTGCTGCCCCACAGATCTATGAGAGATGCTTTAGTATTAAAGAATTATATTATGAGAGATGCTTAGTATCGAGAAATAGATTATGAGAGATGCTTTAGTATTGTTAGGGATTCAAATTATGAGAGATACTTTAGTATTAGAGAATTAGACAATGAGAGATGCTTTAGTATTCGAGTACCAAACTATGAGAGATGTTTTCGTATTCGAGAATTAGATTATGAGAAATTATTTAGTTTTAAAGATTTAAACTACTAGCGATGCTTTAGTATTAAAGAAATATACTATGACAGACGCTCTGCACTCTGTGTATCTGAATAATACCGTCGCTAGGGCTATTAGTATGTAAGTGTCTGGCTATGCCTGTGCAGATGCATTCTCGTTAAATGTATAACTCCTTGAAAGGTATATATCTGTTGGATTGGCTTTCAATACTAATTTGTAGGTGATTGTGCGTAGTTGTGTTATTTTGTCTGAGGTACGTATCGAGGATGCCACTCACGAGCCTCTCAATGATCTACGATCCGATCATACACGCACACGAATAAATACACAGCTATACACACAGGCACATACATATATGTATATACATATATATATATATATATATATATATACTTTCATATATATGTAGTCACATACGCACACACGCACTTATGTACACACACACATATACATATGAACACACGCACAGGGTAACGAAACGCCACTCAAACGCATGCATCTAGACCAATTTGCCTACAAACGCCTGACACGCTCAGCCATGAAACGTAAACGGATACCCGAACGGGTACTGGGTAGGCCGAAGATCGGCACAGGCACATGTGCAGCAGACGTGAATCTGAGGGGAGAGAACCCCTTTTCCAGTATAGCCAAAGGGACGCTGGATGGTATGTGCCCCGTAGTCAAGCGGCGCAAAAGACCGGTCCGTGGTAGCCACGCCAAGAAAGAACCACCCGTGCACGGGATAGAGCCCTCAACCAAGCACAGGGCCTCGGCCCTGTCCCCGTCACCGGCCCTGTCCCAGACCTGTCCAAAACGGACCGAGGACAAATCTCAGACGCAACGGCCCTCCGGCGCATCCGCCGGGGCGGCCAGATCGGCGGTAGCTGATACGGAGGTACGCCCGCAGGCCGGTATACAAGCGGTAGCCCTAAGCAACCGTACAGACCCACCCAGCCGCGATTTTGCCCAGTATTTGGGCTCTATGCACCCGTTGCGGGTGGTGTTTGTGGGCCACAACCCGTCCGACACGAGCTGGAGACATTCACAGCCGTACGCGCACAAGTCCAATCGGTTTTGGAGACTGGTAGGTGAGTCTGGGCTAGTCCCAGTAAACCTGGCCCAACCGCACCACTTTGCCCAACTCCCCGAGGCCGTGGGGGTGGGGTTTGTGGACCTGTATGTCACTAGTGGTAGCGATGCATCTTGTGTCAAAGGGGATCAGGGCGCCACGCTCAGGTGTGTGCGTTGGTGTATGTATTGACTTTGCTAGATGTGGGAAGGTTTGGATGTTTGCATGGATGTGTTGTATGGATGTAGGGATGTACGTATTTCTACATATGTGCGTACGTTTGTATATATGCGTGTATGTAGGTATTTATACATTTATGTGCCTACGTTTGTATGCATGTATGTATGCATATATGTACGTTTGTATGAATGTATGTATTTACGTATTTATACATATCTGTGCCTACGTTTGTACAAATGTATATATATATATATGCACGTTTGTATAAATATATGTTTGTACGTATTTATTCATATATGTACGTATGAGTATGTAGTCTGCACAGGTTTTCACCCACCTGATACAATGGCATCGCTTTGCATATATCCGTGAGACCATCGGGGTAGGGTTTGTGGACTTGTAGTCACTTGTGGTAGCGATGCGTCTCGTACCAAAGGAGATCAGGGCGTCACCTCAGATGTGTATTTCACGGTACATTATGGTGTCTACACGTACGCACATGCGTATATATGTTCGTATATATATATATATATGTATATATATATATATATATATATAGTACGTATATATATACTTATGTATGTATATATA